TTACGAAGGAGCGCCTCGCACACCGGGGCGCCGGTTGCACGCCCTTTGAGGCCTCTCCCGCTGCCGGGCGCGGCGCGATCCAATATCACGAACCTGCTTGAATTCCGCACCCCCCTCCTCCCTTAGCGGAGGTGTCCAGCACTTCCAGACAGCTGAATTATCACGAAAACAATCGTATGTCTTCACCTCTAGGCGATTAGGTGGTCATCACTAGGTTACTGACGTTTTCACTTAAATAATAAGCGCGAATTATCACTTACGAAATGGATGTCTTTTTAATAGCCCTTCAGCTCTGTTAGCGCCTCGTTTAGCCAACACAGGTTATTACAGTGTTAAACGAATATGTGAGAACTAACATCACTTCATTAGCTTGTCGTCATTGAGTTTCCATCTTGTTAATTCTTGAATATCATTTGTTTTCATAAAGGTTACAAAAAAAGTATTGAGAGTTTCAAAGACGTTTCAGTCCCACAGGACTCATTATTTTTGCAAATAAAACACGTAATTCATAAATAGATGCACTTTCAGAGATACCGTGGACTTGAAAATATTTTCGTTCAGATGATATTCCTGCAATTGAATGTTATGTAGCTCCATTTCATTCTCTCTCAATCATAATAATTACATTACATTACATTACATTAATTACATAATTACGTCCCAGCATTGAGAATAATCTCCGGGACGGATTGTTAGACTTTTGGGAGATGTATTTGTCAATGCTTTTCAAAGTATTCTGTCAATAACTTAACAGTTCTGAAGCAAGACTTTTAAAGCACTTCTTCTCACATGATTTTGTTAGTAACTTTAAAAATCATATTTTGGACAGAAATAAAAATTATTGTAGTGACATTTTTTCAAACCAAACTTATGGACATTTTGCACATTCATAGCCGGTAAGGTGAACAAAGAAAATACATTTTATAACTTAACATAGTTAACAAACGCTAACTCTTTCAGACCGATGAAATGGCATTTATCATTATTTATTATCTCGACAGCTCATTTGTCGTCGTGAAAAATTATCTCATATTGCAAGCACATAAATCAGAACTTGGAGATGAAATCGCAGTGCGAGGACACGAACTGTAAGTCCGTTACAGCCTTCAAAGGCTACAGCACTTGGCATCCAGCGTTTTCCTGTTCGTCGTGAAAGCTTCCTCGCGGCCAGAAAGCTTTTATCTACTGCATACTGTTATGCACAGCAATTTTGCGGACGCCCCGTATTAGCGTTTTGCGATCTTGGAAACGCCGGCCCCTGAGCAGGAAACTGCTCGGAGATGAGTGCCCTCTAGCAGTGAGGGTTAACCCAGAATATTTGCTTTCGAAGTCGGTGGGAAGAAGAGCCAATATTTGTAACGGCCAAACGCAGAACCGGGAGCGAACCAGGTTGAAGGGCCACGTAACGTTCGGTTCGCTGCTCTCCCCGCTAGGTTAGTCTCCGGCGCGCCGTGGTGCGCCGACCTACTGACTCGTCCTCCCGCCCGAATATTCGCGACAAGCTTCGCTTTGTACGATACGAGGAAAACAGTCCCCGACTCTTCATCGGCTCGTCAGGAGTAGAGCAAGGTTGTTAGCTGATTTGGACTGGACGTACTTCCGGAAGGTTACGGATTCGAATCGTGAGAGAGTAGCAGACGTGAATAACGGAACATGATTCCGCGGGACAATATTACATCGAAGCGCTCGCTCTCTTCAGGACAAGCTTTGGAAAATATGTTTTCTAAATGATACTTATTACTAAACAATTGCTGCTGTTATTTTCCACAGGAAATAAACAGAGATAAGCAGATACATTTTTCAGCTATTTTTCTTTAGTATTTTAAATACTTGTTCTGTAATATTACATATTTTAATAAATATTCTCATACAATGATTGTTCTTAAATACGCAAACGTGATTTGAATGTTTTATTTAATTTATACTGGAGTGCTCTGAAGTTTCAATAATTCAAGTATTGATAATTCAATTAATCAATTTAATTTGCAATCAATTAGTTTTAAATTATCCAACAGCTGGCATTGTTGTCTAATACTTGTATAGTTTACATTTACCGAATGAATGAATAATCTTAAAAATAATAATGGATATTGAAATAAATTGGCTATGTTATTTCATGACACGAATTTATTGACGTATTTAAGACACGAACAATTCAAAGGATATCGTTTTTTTCTCTGTGTGCCGCGAGTTGTGAAAAATATAATCTCCCTTGGGCATGGAACTCAAATAAAAATTTATCATGTTCGATATTGCCGCTGTTCTCTTTCGAAATATTATTCACGACGTTTTTTTGAGCGGTCATTTCAGGACAGAACAGGACTAATACATCATAATATAACTCATTTTTCCATGCCAAATAGTTTCTATAACACAGGCGCGAACCTTTTTTAGTTATAAAACTTTGGACATCATCGCTCATTGCTAACATTTATTATTAATTCAACACATGTTACTAAAGGAGTGGGGATAGATATTCCGGGACTCAAGACAACGCACGTATAATGTGCGACGCGATAAGCAATCGCCGCGAATTATAGCGTGCTGGTGTGTCACAATATATAATTTGAATGCTTACTATTTAAAATTAAAGAAACCGGAGTTCTAAGTCTCATCTGCTCCCAAGAATGTAATGTTTGACCTTTTTCTCGTACACTCCCACACACTTCACTCACATTTCTCTCAAAACTCGTGGCCTGCTACCGGAAGTTTCGATCTCAAGTTTGTCTGGTAATATTTTGAGTCGATATGGTGATTTGCTCACGACTAGAGCAGACTTATCTTCTGGTTCACTCATGTAAACTTCAGGAAGATTTATTTCTGAGTGAGTGCAAGAATTTCCAAGCAGTTTAACTGTAAAGGTTGAAAGATGTACGCCTTGGATGACGTCTGTAAGAAAATGATTTACGATCACGTACAGACTATTAAAAGCGTCATAACATGTTCTTTGAGAGAACGACACATTGCAGATAAAATAAACAGGAAGCTTAACTAACAGTACAGTACAAGAGTATGTGTGGCATTATTTTATCTGGAACAGACAAATCACCCACTTCTTACTTATTATACCGTAAGTTTGTTATTGACTAATTAACGTAACAATAGATTCCAGAAAGTAACAGAATGTAATTTAAAGTCCTTCTTGGGCATACTTATGCATTAACTCCTGGATAGAGAAATAAGAAAACAAAGAACATACATCTCAGGCTAAATTTCAACCAAAGTATCAGTGAATGTTATCGGGGCAGAGAAAAAACACTGTGAGTTTTAAATTCGCACGATTGTTCCCTAGTTCCAAAGCCTGCTGGGGTTTCGAGCTGTGTTAGCAATGGGCGTCTATGGATTTGCAAACCCGCAGGCTGGCTTAGTATATCCGCTTAAGCGATAGGGGGGGGGGGCTTCACGCCGCTCAGCTGAAAAGGCCTGCCGTTCGCGAGCAAAACGAAAGAGCATTGTGCGACTTCTATAGACCCATATTATAAATTACAATAAGCCCGCACGGCGGGCGGCGTTCTTCCCTTTTGCACTAGGCGAAATATAGTATATTCAACGCAAAACACACACACACACGGGCGACTGACGACCGAGAAGCCTGAGTCACCGGAACCGTTAGGAGTATTTCTGTTTCCCCAGGGAACGCGATGCACACAACTGCATTCCTCTCTCTCTCTCTCTCTCTCTCTCTCTCTCTCTCTCTCTCTCTCTCGGCCTCCCTCTCCGCGCCTCTCTCGCTCCCTCTCGCGGGCGCTCTCTCAATGGGGTGCTCGCTGTTTCCAATCCGTTTCGCCAGTCACCGGATGGTAATTACGGGCGGCCTTTGTCGCGGCCGCGCGCCGCCCGAGGTAGATCGGGAGATTTATCGGGCGTTTGTTGGGTTTTCAGCGGCCGGCGCCGCCGACGCCGCACATGCTGCAGCCGCCGCGCAGGAGACGCTGTTCTGCCCTGTTGTACGCGGAGGTACTCGCGAAGACAATTTTTTAACGTCACTTTATAGAAGCAATGCCAATAGAAGCAACAGCGTTGTGGTAAAATAAACACAGTGAAGATTGAGGACCAAGAGTGTTTGATGAGAATTGAAGGATTCTGCTTAAAAAAAAATTTAAGACAACCTCAACTATAGCACTTCCACACAGATATGGAGTCTCAACAACTTTATAATATGTTCGTATATTCCAATAGTTGCCCTCCTTATCAGAGAATTACAAGTAATGGATGGAAATTTACTTTTGAGAAAATTGAAAAACAATTTTTATCAGATTCTTTGTATATTTTGTATTGGAGATCTCTAACGGAATGGAAGATACTGTCGGGAGACATTCAGAAAGTAAATTAAAATGTAAATACATTTTTTTCAAACTTTGTGAAAGCAACTTGATTTTGAAAATAAGCAGAAATTAAAGTGTGTAATAATATAATACGTTTTCATCTAATTCTGTGTAATAAGTTCTACTGAGCTCCGGAGGCACCTTTCAAAACGCAAAATAACCTATTTTACCGCAGGGTAACCTATTTTTATAGCCTGAATATTGAAATATATAAGAAGGCCGTGTTATATCATAGAATTCGTATCAAATGTTATGACTTGGGAGAAGAGATGCTTTAGAAACGCCATAGACCAGCATCGATGATAATGATGTCACGAACGCGCACGGAAAAGTCAATGTTCCATCTGAGCTGTAATATGGAATGTAGAACGATTTACTATTCCCACATCGATCGTTTCATTTTATTTCGCGATGTTCTGTGTGAAGTGAGGCGTATTAGTGAGAGGTCATTCACTTCAATTTAACACCTGTCGGTGGCATTCAACGTTTTTTCTTAAAAAGTTGAAAGAAAGAACTAGAGGCATTTTGAACGTTTTAATCCATGTTAGTCATGCTCTTTCGGTTTCATTGTTCCCCTAATGAAAAATGGATATCTGTTCACATATCTTTTGGTTACATGTTATCCTAGTAGGTTCCTTATCGCGGCCCAATTTGCTGGTAGCACTGAGCACATTAAGCGAAGTTCAAACGCGTAATGAATTTCAATTCTGTGGCTTTAGATGGAGATGTAATATAGTTGTTATAACTAGTAACTACTTGACTGACCGAGAGCGTCCTAGGCACGGGTGCCAATGTTTCGGCCGCACTTCTGTAACCTTCCTCAGGGCGAATTATGCGGAGATGGACAGTGAAACTAACATAATTGTTACAAATTAAGGAATGATTTAATTAATATTGTTTACGAATATTTCAAGAAATGCGAAATGATGGAATCCATACATTTCCACGTTTGAGTGGTCAGTATCACAACTCCTTAAATATAATATTACGAATTTGTCTAGTAGTAACGACGCTTTTGCATGCCTTTGGAGAATCAAGGATGATGAGTTCCCACAATACTTAACGTTGCACAAATATTTAACTTCCCTGACAGTAAAAAAGTAATCAAACTTCTGAGTTGGACAATATTTGATCATAGTTAAAGACTCAATTTACAACCTACCACCGCAACTCAAATGAAGCAATTGCTTGTTGAAGGCGACGTCAGCTTCACAGTACCGCCTTGAGGGTAAATGAAGGTAAGTCGACATAGCAAGTAGTATGAAAAATTACTAGCTTTCCAAAAGAGAAAACATTGGATATGTTTTTGGGGTACAAACTCGTTAAATAGTATGAAAATGGCTCTTTCTTAGAAATTTAAATGGAAATAATTTATCATAAACATTATTATATTGTAGTTTTTAAAATGTGTTTAAAGTATATACATACTAAGCTTTCTAAAATCTTTTAAAAGTGTGAGTAAGGAATATTAAAAAATATGAAGATGTTACTTTATGATCAGACTATTTCCATGGCTGTTTCTCAGGGTAATAGTATCCAATTTTCCGTTGAATGAAGCTCCTATTCACTTCCATTCATCGCTTCAAACTCATACCTCTACTCCAGAGTATTAATTATACATTGAACACCGGCGTATCACGCCAGACACGACAAAAAGGAATGTGTCTGCCTCTTATTGCTCTATTTATAAGTCGGCGTGCATGTATAATTCTGCGAAGCGAGACAGTTCCATTGTGATGCCATTTCTCACGGAGGGAGCGAAACGTAGCATGACGGGGGTAATGTCACGTCCCGACGGATTCGGGCCCAGACGAGGCAGGGGCAGGGCGGGCTGGGGGCGGGGCGGGGCGGCGACTCGGCTGGCCACGGCGTCCCGACGCCACGACGGTGGCGACGCCAGACGCTGCGGGCGGGCGCCGATGCCAGGGCAGCACACGGCAGCAGTGACGCTCGCTGGTCAGGCAGTGTGGGGGCGAGGCTTTCCAGCTCTGTAGACGTGTGAAGTCGGGACCTTGAAATCAAAAGTGTTACTTTTCGTTTGACCATGTCAGCTGAACAAACAATTTAATTTAATATTTTCATTAGCAAAAAAGGAATTTATTTGTTGGTGCCATAATGGCAGTTCTGTGCACACATTTTGAATTTTAACGTGCTAAAAAGGAATTTGGTGTATGTTCTCTGGCCATGTTTAGTATATATCTGGTGCTTGCTTCTATCCTTTAGCATCATTGTATCATTTATTTTGATAACTCTTACAGATAAAACTTCTTTCGTTTTAGATTAGTATTCTTTTCATTGTTTTGTGTTTCGTGCTATTAGTATCTTTACTAGCGAACTTTTTTACTTTGTTGTTTTGTGGTTATGATAATTTTAATGGAAAGATAATTATTAGAATTACAGAAAATTTCGTAGTTTTGAACATTCTTTGAAAAGTTTTAATTTATGTAAATTTTGTCATAATTACATAAATATAGTAATTTTTGGAAAATGAATGGCAAATAATCAACTAATACTTGGAGGTGACTTAGAATTTTAAAAAATCAAAGTTAAAGACTGTTCCTCAGCATACATATTTTGCTTTCTAAGGAACAAGATAACCAATAACAGTTTTATTAACTAACAACAGCAAATTAAACTCAGTGCGGTGGGCCGAAAAAAATAAACAATAAGCTTCTGCGGATACAAATTTGACTACGAGTTACAGTTTTTTGTTTCAGAATTGTCAAGTGTAAAGAGATAATCCTCCAAAATTTTTGTTTTTCCGATTTGGAGTGGGTATGCTAAGAAAATGAAATAATTAGCAATAGTGGGATATTAGGGACAAGTGAATGATCTATCCTCTTAAAATATTTTTTTATTTAGTAGTTCTAAAGTAAGTTACCTCTAACCTTTCGATTTAAATATTATGTGTCTCCTTCGTCTAGTGGTGAGCTAGAATGTCATGCTCTATAGTGGTGCTTGCATCCTGTACCTGGTGGTTTTCACCAACACTAAATTCCTCAGCACTAAGATTATTATGTGATAACGAAAATAAAACGAAATATAGAGATGTCTTATAAGATAATATTTTTCTGTTACCTGTCTTGTTTCAAAAAGTTTCTTCACTGGAATGTGACTGTAACTCAGAACTCTCTAGAACAAATAAAACCAATGTCATATTTTGAACGCCTTATACTAATATTCACTCTAATATTTAGTTACATATCAATAATTGGAAGAAATGTCGGGAATTTCCTTTGCGAAGTTTTAAGAAACCTGGTAAATTAACAAATTTTCCGTATTTCTATTATTCTCGAGATGGTTTAATGAAACCAGAAAATTACCAGGAAGAGATCCCAGAGAAGGGAGAGACGTGGTATTAAAACATTAAAGACAATGAACTCTTAAGGTTGAGAAGGAACGCACTGATGTTAGTGGAATGCACATCCTACATAAGCCTCCATGACTTGCTGCGCCTTTAAATAAACAATCATTTAAGCTAACTCCTAGACCATTAGAATTCCTGCAAGTTCATGCCAGGCGACTGCGCAGCCTGAGGGGCGTAAGGAAACTATGAGGAAATGGAAAGACACGAAACGACACGGAAGAGGAGAACGCCGCCAGTTCAAGTCAGGTGAAGATATTAATTGGTGTCTCTGAACAGTAACAGCTCCCTGTGAACTCCGTCTTTTTTTTCTTAGACTGGGATACAGAAGAGTACACTCTCAAAAGACTAGTTCAGGTGAACAAAATAATTAAAATTAAAACATTATTTTGACAGAGATCGGCATTATTTGTCAATCAGAGTCCTTAGACACTTATTTCGAAGTTTTACTTTGCATATTTAATATACACTGCATGCAATTCCATACTCTCGGGGTTATGCTAGATTGTGTTGCATACTTGACGATTACTTACATAAAACTGCAAGTTTGAAAGATAATATAATTTTCCTCGATTGGATTATTTTTTCTGTTGATGACAATTAGTTAATGAGATTAACAAGTTACTCAGATCATGACTTCTCTTGAATTATTTTTTCTTGTATTCCCTTGAACACTATATTAGTTTTGTAAAAGGAACAATTACATTGCTAAGATAATCGCATATCGCGAGTAAGGATATGGGCCTTCAGTGAGCCCTTTTTCCTGTTCAACAGTAAGAGGATTCCGCTCAAAGAATATTCGTCGAACAAGGATTTTAAATAGCTTTAAACCTGCATTAATCACTAGCGTGGATGTGTAACTTTCATTTCAGGTTAAAAAAACATTCTTACAAATCGCTGTCATAGATTTAATCAAGATAATTTTGAACTATATTGGTTTATTAATACAAATAATAAAAAGTTGCTACGTACCTCTAGTTTGTTATTTTGTTTCTGTACTTATTTTAATAAATATACATTTAGTAAATTTGTTTACATAGCATCTCATGACATAAATTTTTGTACTTTGTTACTTACGTAACACGTAACAACCTTTCAGGCCTTTTCAGCATTGAATGTGGAGTAATTACCTTTGAATATAGTCATCAATCAAGTCATATGTGATTGCCTTTTATCCCTGTTGGCCAGAAGCTCAACGCCTTTAGAATCCGGTGTTCGCAGACGATCATCCATCCAGGGTCTTGCAATTACTTTCTCTAACATGCTGAGTTAACATCATCCAAGTTTTGTGGGTTTTTGATACCAAAAAATTGATTTTCGGCAAATGTGTCTGTCCGCCTGTCCGTGAACAACGCTAGTGGTTAAATTGAAGGCAGGATTTGATCACAACTGATATTCCCCGGTTGATCTGGCAAATGTCACGGGCCATTGTTTATAAAACGAAAATTTGTATTTGGGGGATATTTGTAATGGACCTTATTTAAATTTCCTTAAAATGAACCACAGTATTTTCTAAATATTGTTTAAGCAAAATTCACTTATAACATTTTCGTTGAACTCTTTTAATTTTCGAAAACGGCAAAAAATACAATCGATGCGAGAAACTATGTGCGTTTAAGCATCATTAGTTAATCATTAGATGTGTACTGTGATGTGCAGAGCGCACATTTCTTCTGAAAAATGGTCAAAACGTTTTGTTTCTTCGTGATGAAACAGCTGCAAAACTGAATTGCCAAGAATAAAATGTAAACAGTTAATTTGCCCATACACAGTTATTATTCGCAGAGGACGTTGATAGTTGATAGGAAAGACGTGTTTTACGGTGAATCACGTAAGCATCACCAGCGCTAAGGACAAACATTTGCGCAGTTCCATCCAGCGACTGAGGCTCACATCACTCAACAGAGCTGCCGATCAGCCAAGTCTTACATTGAAACGTCGTATTTTTTTCAAGGGCAGAGTTTCGAAGGTTTTTGTTACTTTTAGAATTCATCTATTCATAAGCACTACCACAAGATGATCCTACATGCCTAAAGTCCACGACCTGCGATGACATCCTAAACGACTTCCATTAATGCCAAGTATTTTCTGCTCTTTAGACGCCCAGTATTTTTGCTCCAGGGCTCCACTCTTTAGACGCCAGGGCTCTAAAGGCGCCCAGGATTTTGAAGTATGGTGAGCCGTCATTTTAACATCGCACCATGTACAAACGACTCCAAGGCGACGGCGGAGCCCTGGGGATGTGACATCTTGCCTCTCGTGGTCCTCAGCGTTGTCACACTTCCTCCCCTGCCAATATTGCCCCACCCCCCAAGGGTTCTCCGCCGAGCCCGTATACATTGGCGACTTGCTTGCATTTCGCAGCGCTTTTGGAACTGATTGCCGGAATGTTTTCATCCTTGCACGTCGCTCGCCTTCGGAGACATGATGCGATGTTATTACGGCGGGTCATCGCAGAAGATTAAACAAAACAGAAGATCTTAAAATTCGGGAATGCGGCGCTTCATCAACCTAAAAGTAGTCTTCAAGTGATATGAGGCGTGGCGATGTTTTGCTGCGTGGGCGCTGATGGCTTGGGATTGCTTGGCGAGCTGCTGCGAGCGGAGCGGACGTGAAGAGAGGAGAGGAGAGCGAGAGCGCGGAGTGGCTCATCGTGCATCGACCGATTCCGCGTATTGCGGCGCGAACGCAGCCAACGGCAGAGCGCATTCTCACACGCGCCCGCGCCGCGCCGCGCCGCGCCATCGCCAAGTGCAGGCGCGCGGGCGCGCGTACTCAGCTCCGGGCCTGTGGCATTTCCAGCTGAAATGGAACTCACCCCGGTTCCGACTTAGCTCTTGTGGGTCCGCTTTCCTTCACTCGCTTCCAATCAACGCGTTGTTTTCGGTAGCAGTCGAACGCCATTGGTGGGGGAGGTGTGAGACGTACTGCAGCGAAAATTATTTTTCTTCTTCCTCCTCCTCCTCTACATCGTCCTCGCTCTCTTCTTCTCTTCTCTCTTCTTCTTCATATTATTACCATTATTATTATTATTAATTTATTATTATTATTATTATTATTTATATTATTATTATTATTATTATTATTATTATTATTCGCCGTTTGGCCTCTCACTGACTACCCCAACACATTTCTTTGTCGAGCCCAGTTGTGTTGTATCCTGGAGAGATCAACGTGAGGAATTATGGGAATCAGCCTTTCGGCTGCATCCTTTAGTTAAGAAAAGTTGTTAGCCTTGAATATCAATTAGGGGAGGGGAGAGAGGATGGTTTTGTGATTTTTAATTATTACAATTATGTATTTATTATTTTTACTATTATTATTACAATTTTAATAATAATAATAATAATAATAATAATAATAATAATAATAATAATACAGGGTGATGTTGAGGACTAGGATGATGTTCGGTTGGAGGTGTTCGGGGGCTTTTAGAACCATCCCAGCGTTCGCCTTGAGACCGAAATGAAATCTCCGGTCAGGATGGCCGGCCCGAGGGTCGAACCTGGACTTCCCGATTTGGAACCCAGCACGCTACGCACTGAGCGACTGCGTTCTGTCCTTTTATTATTATTATTATTATTATTATTATTATTATTATTATTATTGCTATTATTATTACTATTATTATTTTCAAATCTTTCTTTCGCTGAGGAGATGCTGTTACATAGTTTTAAAAGTTTATTATTCGAATATTTCTTACCTCCAAGGGATAGATTCGTCATTCAAACCTTATATGTTTACAAAGTAATTTAAAACCATTGACATGCATAATTAATTCGTGGAAACTTCAGTGTTCTCTTACAGCCAGGTCAGTCCATAAACACCCTTCAAGCTTACGTTGGGATCTGTCGATTTAGAGAACTGTTGTTCATTCGGAGAAGCTTAGTGGATATTCAAGTAGTTCTTTAAGAAAGTGATGTGGGTGTGTCTTGAAGGAAAGGTCCGCAAGAACAGAAAATGTTAAATACACTCGCTTGTGTTCTTGCCACACATCCAAAACACTAACTTACAGAAAATATATGTAAAATATTACTAATGCATGACTAATAAGTAGTGACATAATCGTAAAGAAGCAGGTTGTAGGACGGAGTCGTTAAGGGTGACGACTCGCTACTCCTACAGACCAACCTGCATCAATGAGTGTTTGAACGTAATTGTATTGCACTAATGTGAATATTATAATAACTGTACTTTAACTACTTACTGTAGGTAGAAAATAAAAGGTAAAATTCTAGTTTTGCACCAGAATAATTTATTGCACCATGGTAATAAACCGATTTTTTGGTAAGCTCTCATACGATGCCAGTGCTGGCGGTTATCAGTTTTTGTTAGTGATCAAATTACTTCGTGTAATATGATACACAATACGAGTATATGGCAAATTTTGTCAGGGTTCGTTTCTTTTCTCCCGTTTTGACCTAGATTGCTCTACAAATATGTCTGCTCAGTGTTTTTAAACGTAGAATATCATTGCATCGTCTCTTTGTGGTCTTCGAGCAGATACGTTTCCAGAATTCCAGCTCTTCGGCAAGGGCTTCTCTGCTGATGCTCGTTTGTTTCGCACGCAAGGGACTTCGCTGAAACTGAAATACGAGCGGTATCATTACACGTTTTTATCCTAACATTCTTTTTAACAACAAGCAGAACGATTTTTTGGAATGTGCGTGTCCTCAGTTGCACGGAAATTAACGGTTTATACATTTTACGTTTCTAACTCGAAAATAAAAAAAAGGTACTTTACTTTTAATTTGTTACAGATAGAATTCGCTTTAACTACCGTCTTAAGTTGAAAATTTCTTACAAGTGATTTATAATGAAGTTCTTAGTTGTCAAAAACCTTCTGTTTATGATTTTCATGGTTGGTAAACCTGTCACAATTTCTAAAAACAACCAATCAACCATTTCTAAAGATAACTTTTCATGAAAACCACTCCAATAATTACAGTTCCAGTAATTTAATTACAAAACTTGGAATCAACAAAGTGTTTCGATTTTATCAATTTTATTTTTAACTTGTAGGTTAAAGAGAATTATTGAGTAACGATATACATCATAAGCTCCACAAAATAATGAATGTAATGAGTTAAATTTATTTGTTTTGATTTTAATTGTTATTTTTTGCAATTTATGCCAATAATTTAACATTTTATTAATATGAACGAATTGAATCTTATATTTTTTGAATATTTATATTTCAATTAGGTTAAAATATTCAAATTGTTAGTATAACAACTTGCAACTACAAAATCACGCATGTAACTAAATGTGATCATTCATTTTATGCAATGAAAACACGATGGACTGTGGAGACGACAAGAAAAAGGTTGCGAAATATTAAATATGAAAAATATAATTGATAATTTTTCGTTGGCTCAACTGCTCTTCGAGAAAAGTTTCAACAGAAAAAAAACGAACCCATCTTTAATGTGAAACGTGCTGCCGCAACCAGCGCTACAAGAGATCCCGCAAGAGCACGCCACGTGCGAGTGGCTGGCAGTGCTGGAACATGGATCGCCCCCTGCCAAATTTCGCGAGGCAAATATTTGAGCAACGGCGCGCCGTCGAGTGTTCCGTCTGGCAGCGGGCGATGGGGGCGGCGGCGGCAGAGGTCTCGGGCGGACGCTGCTCCGCTCGGCTCCACACCCACAACCACCGCGCGGCGCGGTGAAGCGCGGCGCGGGCAGACGCCAGACAGGGGATATTGATTCCGGGCGCGTCAGCTTTTGCCCGGTAAGCGTAACCTATGTTATATATCGTACTGTGTCGGTGCTCTTTCTGCACTGGAACCTGAGATTCGGTCGCGTCCTACTGGTTGGTCTTTCCCTCGTTCGGGCTCCTCCTCTAGTCTCGACTGGTCTCCCGACATATGGTCCCGTAGTGCATCAAGTACTGTGTAACTCTGTGAGTATGTGTGCGTGCGTACGCGTGTGTGTGTAAGGAGAGAGGATGGAGCAACGTTGAGGGAGGAAAAATCGCCAGGGTGCGAGACCCGATTGTTAGGGCACTGCTCCGGCATTCACATGATATGGATACGAGAAACTATGGAAAACTACCGATCAGATTCAACCAGCAGCTGTAATTCTCCTCTAGACAATGATTGTGAGATTGATCGTGAAAGGACTGATTGATGCAATCACTAGGAATCAATGAGTAGCTGTAGTAACAGGAGGCCATAATTTTGAAACACTCTACAATAATCTTGGGAGACACCCGGAATTCTGGAATGGAATGGGAGCGCTCTGACTTCCAAACCACAGTTCGCGAATTCAAACCCTTCTGACGTCAGCGGGTTTTCAAACAGTGGAAAATCTGCACATGTAAACTTTGTGGCATGTGAATGAACCGTTAGGTCGACCGGACCCGTCAAAAATAAATCCCCCTGGTTACACCACCCGGCCGTATCGGGATTCCACGTTCTACCGACCAGACACCTCGGACATTACTAGTCGAGACCGACATGAAGTGGGAAAAGAATCATAACCCAGGCGCGATACATCGACGGCGCAGATCCAAACGGCAACAACTCAAAATAAAGTTTTGAGATATTACCGTTTTAAAGTTTAATATTATCTGAAAACGCCATTTACACCAGTTAAATTTATAATTTATAGCATAACGGTTCGTAATAAATTTCATATTCAAGGGATACAATTAACCTTTTTAGAGCGAAATTCAACTTTAAAACGGTAGTTTCACAAAATGTATTATTTTGAGTTGCTGCCTTTGGAACTGCACCGTTAATGTTCTCTCGTAAGATACTCGGGAGGTGTGCTTACTCAATCATAAAGACACAGCCAAAAGGAGACTCCGCGCACACACACCCGAACGGTAAAAAAAATGTAATGAATAAAAAGAAATGCTATTCAAACCAAATTTAACAATATCAACACTACATTCCCATAAAACGTAATGTTTTGAAGAAAAATGACGTACGAGGATGCGATTCCTTACATCTGTTGGATCCTTTGTACCTTTATTAAATCAATAAATATTGAAATTAAAATTCTAGTTATCTGAAAACCTGATTTTTGTTACTAACATGTTCATTTTCAGGGTCTCAGTTTTGTTTACTTGGATGGAAAGTTGGGAAGATAAGTATTCAACATAAATCCAAAGTATACTGACGAATAGTTGCATATCGGAAAAGAGAACCCCAAAAATATGTCCGAAGGCCATGTAAATAATCTTTAGAGGTAACGATTTTCGAATGGTAGTTTAAAAGTAGTAGTAGTAGTAGTAGTAGTAGTAGTAGTAGTAGTAGTCGTAAGGTAGCATGGGTAGCAATAATAATAGAATAATAATAATTAATAATGATAATAATATAATAATAATAATAATAAGTAATATAATAAATATAATAATCGTTATTGCAATTCCTGTCGTACAATATTATTATATATATATATATATATATATATATAATATATTATATATAAGAAAAGTAATTAATTAGGAGGAATTCATTTTAAGTATAAATAAACACATAGTGATCTGAAGAAAATGTCAACGGCGATTCTCAGTGTAATAACTGATTTTTCCACTGACCGACAAAAACTACATTATGCATTATGAAGAGACGATGAAGCTAGCTTTACGCTTTACTTCAACAACGTACAGAAGAACACAATTGCAGTTCTGGATCACTTAATTGCAGTCCATTGAATGGAATTCCCCGTCATCGGCCGTTTTAAACGATCTGGATTAAGAGAAAGTTTCATGCTTCTTTGGAGACTTGAATGCCGTCAATCGCGTTGTAACTTCTTTTTCTCACTTGACTCATCAAGAATATTGATTTTCTTGCAGACAAGTTTACTTTGTGCTGAATTCGTTCAGGTTGCATAGCTAACACTACATTTGGCTAGGCCTTCTAAATACTTCGACTCATTCTTAAAAATCTGACGTCATTTTTTCTACATTGACATTTTTTGTTTTGTTTTGTCTGAACCACAAATAATAATTTCATAGTTTTAAGTAAAGAAAAGTACGTTATTACAAATTTTATCATTTTGAAAATCCTATTACAAATCCTATGATGTAACTGCATTTCGCATGGTAAAAACATAAAAATTTACCTATCAAAATGCAGTTTTTATCCTCGTGAATCTCAGAGAATATGTCAAGCAGTAATGTGTGTAATATTTACCCCTTTGGTACAATGCGTTACAAGTCGATCCAGCTGGCTGTGCTTGCCACCTGTTCGCGCCAGGTAATCGAGGTAGCGCATTGTTGGTGTTCTTCCTTGCGTGAACGTGTTTAAAGCAAGCATTCTGCTTTGTGAGCGGTTGGAATTAGGAGTAGCTCACACGGTATATTTTTTTCCGTCGCTGCTTCACTTGGGAAGCACCTAATGTTTATTTCTCGATCGTAGCGGTACATTTAAGAGCAGTGTACGCAAGGCGTCAAAAAGGGAATGCTTCGTCGTCATAATTTTCACTTCACAGGTTTTGGCAGTTCATGTACTCGAAACATTCTGGATGACTCACAGTTTTGCTTCGGTTGGTTAGAGTGTTCTTCTAATATCCGGGAATCTCCGGGAAGTTGTCGTTGAAAAATTTCTTTCTTGACGACAGTAGATTTCAAATTGTATTCCAACAAAATTAAATTTGTTTAAACGCGAAAGAAAAATATCAATAATAAAAGAAGCGTGTAATTGAAAAATGACAGTCCTATGTAACAAGAGTCTTGATTTGGTTTTGAGGAAGAGATTAGCCTGATACCAATGGTTGAGCTCAAGCGAGTGCATCGCGGACAATGGGAAGAACTGAGAACAGAATTGAGGCTCTCGAAATGTGTGTTTCACGAAGGATAATGACAATAGAGTGATTAGACAAAGTAAGAAACGAAGATATTCTAAAATCGAACCCGATGATTCCTTCGATCGGAGATCCGCTATGGCTCTTTACCTGCCTCGCCAACGGCGTTGAATTTGTAAATGCTCTGATAGTGAAATTCCACTACGTTTCCATAAAAAATTTATTTATAAATTAATTGCGAAAAAGGGTAATCAACTACAATTTACAAGAGATCTAGCAGCATTTACAGTGTAGGTAGTACATAAACATGCAGTGACTAAAACACTATATTATCTCTTTCTGGAAGATAATTCACTGTATTCCTCAGTCAAAGCCCAACTCACTAGCCTAACTACAAGAAATCAGGGAAGATGCAATGCACTAGAGAACAAATTAAAAGCTCTGCCAATGCCACTGACTCTTTCGTTATACTTTTGTACGCAATATTACTAGCATCGTGATATTTATACGAGTTTATTGCTATCTCATAGACTTGAGTCACGCCGTGTCCTATTAGGTGCATAATCTGCTGAAGTAGATCTTGGGGTAAAACTCAGGTTGTTTTAATGGTTGTTCATGATGTAGCGTCGAAATTATAGGAAAAAATAATGGCGATAGATGTGCACATATTAAAAAGATGAATTCCATGGCCTTGAGTAAATGAAAACATTAAGAACAACTGATAAGCTTTGCAAGTATTCGCAACCGGTTCCAACTGAGTGAGGAAGCTCGCTCTCTGAAGTGCAACGCTTTTATATAAAAAAAACTACCCGGGTATTATTCAGAAAATTTCTCTGAAAAACTCTCTCAGTCTTCAAGAGTAGTAGATTAGTCGTTGGATTGGCAACTCTGGACTGTAGACCGGATTATACAACTCTGAGAAGCTGTAGTCCTTCCGGAATCATCGTCAATCCGAGCTAGTTTTGTGAAAGAATCCAAACCCCATGAGATTTATAGCACCGGATCCCATCTCAAGCACCTCGCATTTACAACACTGATTAAAACGTTTAACAAAACATACTTATGAAATACGAACAATAAAGGAAATAGAATATCTACTGCTCGAGAAGTTTTTCCATTGTCCGAGTGTTCTCTTGGTCCGGGACGGAAACGTATGGACCACCTCCGATATATGTTTACCTGTGGACAGCCACTTACACTTTCTCAACCCGTTACATTTCCTATACCCAACTAGTCACTATATAAAAAATAACTGCGTTTGATCAAGGAATTCGAAATTTGCGAGTAAGCAAAAAACGACGCGTTGCATGCGCTTAAGAGACAGCTCCGCTTAATCTACGTTCTCGAATCATAGCGGCGACGTAACGGTATTGGTTGGAGAAGCAGTAGTAGTTGTGCCACGCTTGTCAGAATTCTCCCACCTGCAAGAAATTACTTGTGCCGATGGTCTGGGCGAGTATTATTAATTAAGATTTCCTTGCACCATAGGAGCAAGTTCAGCCTGTTAATTATTGCAATAAGAGTTCCCAGCCATTTGGGGACTCACTCACGCTTTTGCGTAGAGCTACCCCACCAGGCATCCGCGTTCCTTTGCTCTCGTGAATGTCAAGCTGTTTTATCGTTACGCATATTTTTAACTTCTCTTCCCTAATACTGGAACTATGATCAATTATAATTTGTATTTGAGGGAAACTGGACAGTTCTCCTCTAAATCTATTAAGAACGATCTGAGATCAGTCTTCCGATTACTTGGTGTTATTTGGTGACGAAGTTTAGCGACGAGATTGGAGCGTTATCGAGAGCAATTACCTGCTTAATATCTTCTTTTGCAGTGGTGTGAATATGAACAGGACTTGACACATGATTAGTCACTCAGTAGAGCCAGAGGCTTGAACATCTATAAAATAATTCATAAAAAAGTAATCCGAAATAAGCCATCACGCTTCTGGAGGATAGAAGCAGATACCGCAAGCATAATATTAGTTATAAGTAAATAACCATCGTTCTCTAGCGATTGTGGACAGGTAGAATTGAAAACACCATGTCATAGTAATATTTAAGAACAAAGAACCCTGCCATTTGCTCCGACGTCGTATACTAGGAAATATATGAAGATATTACTATGCCACACTCGCTTGCCGGGTTATTCGTTGCTTTCCATAACCCAGCTTTTCTGTCGAATCATAAGATCTACTATACTTCACTCAATCAGTTTTAGCACTCTTCTTCCTGATCTCTCATTACTTCTACTGTTCTGTCAGTTTGGGACGATATAGTTTCTCCTCTCATTACGCTCAGATATTCACGTTTAGACACTTTTTAGAAGTCTTTTTTTTCCAAGTTCTT